CTTCTGAAAACCTTTGGAACCTAACCTCAATCGACTGCATTTCCTCTTATGACAGCGGGGCCCGGGGTTTACTGGACGAAGCAGCCACACGTGCCCCTGTGATTCACCGCACGGGGGTGCAGATGAGGGACGGGGTCACCAGCCAGAGCTCGGGGCTTGCATGGGGCACAGGACCTCCACCCTGCCTGTCCTATCAAGGGGATGCTGGACCTGGGAAAGGTACCGTGATATTCAGGAATCTTGACTCTGCCCCTCGCTGGCTGTGTCATCCTGGCTAAGTCACACAGTATCTCTGTGTCTCACTTTTCTCAGCTCTAAAATGAGAGAAACCAGTAACTTCCTCAGAAGGTGACAGACAGCCAAAAGCCCTGTACAGAGTTACACGGGAATTCTAACAAGAAATCTATCCCTGTGTCCATTTTCCTTATGCCAGTACAAAACCACCATTTTAAAAAAAAAAAAATTTAACACAGTATTATTTTCTTCTGTATAATCGTTTTGGATTTTCCAAAATTTCCACAATAAAACATGAATTAATTTCATTCTAGAGCGAGAAAGGAACATAAAACCATCATGTGATGAAATCACACATTCAAAGGAAACATACTGAAACGTGCTGGTCCCTAACCTGGGAACTGCTTCACTTCCAGGGTCCTCCCAAGGATCTGATGCTCTTTAGTCAGGATCTGGTGAAGGACCAGAGCAGCCTCAAGATGGCACAGGCAAGATGGTGGGGACAGGGTGGTACAGGCAAGATGGCGGGGACAGGATGGTACAGGCAAGATGGCGGGGACAGGATGGTACAGGCAAGATGGCAGGGACAGGATGGCACAGGCAAGATGGCAGGGACAGGATGGTACAGGCAAGATGGTGGAGACAGGATGGTACAGGCAAGATGGCTACCTCACACTCAGTCCCCCCAGCTAAGTCTTCCCAACTCATTCCCCTCACCACATCCACCCAACCCAATCCAGCCTTTACAACGTCAAGGTTATTTCCTCTGTGGCTATCATTTACCTCCTAAAACTAGCTCCCATCCAATTAATCAACCAATACACCTTTGGTGCCCACATTATGTACAAGGTGCTGTGACACATGCTGAAGGATGGAGGTGGTATTAAATAACCGAATAATGGTTCGAGACCTTAAAAAGCCTGCAGTCCAGTTCTGCACTCAAAAGATAAAGCCATCGAGGCACAAAAGTCAAAGCCATGGGTGCAAATGGACACAGACAAGAAAGCTTCAAGCACCCTGGAGCAGGGACAGCTCAGACCGTGTGGCTTCGCACCACTGCCCACCCCCAGGTGGTGACCTTGAGCCAAGCTTTAAAGGATGGATGGATGCAGAAAGGAGGCGGGGAGAGCAAACCAGGACAGCTAGCACTTCTCAAAGACGGGGGCTGAAACGTGGAGGCTACATCGTAAGACAAATGCAGGGTTATTTCAGCAAGTAGATCAGTCTTGCTCGAAGAGGCCGAGGCACTGGGCCAGGGCGGGAACATGGGGGGGTGGGGGGGCGGGCGGCGGGCCTGACTGTCAGCCTCCAGGCTTGACCACGGTTCCTTAGGAAACACAAAACCACCGGAAGGTCTTGGGCCCTTTGGAAGCGGTGCTTTCCACGCAGACAGCTGGAAACACAGAAAGGAGGGGCGGCAGGGCCCTGGGTTAAAGGGTCCTGCAGCAACAGTGAGGGGGCAGCAGACGCGGCCTCACGGAAAGAATGGAGGGGCAGGTGCAAGAGAGTCTGGAGGGACAAAAATGAACTCATCTCTGTGTACTTTCCCCTCCATACCAGCTTTTCCACTTTCCCTTTCAAGTGTCCTTTGCAGCCTATATTAAGAAAAACAAAACCATAAAAACGTGTAACTGATTTTCAAAAGGCAGGCACCGAGAGTCTTAGTGGAGAGGCCAGTTCTGAGGAAGTCTGGGTCATCCCTGGCCCCCCCCAGCCCAGGGGCCCCTCTCAGGACACCCAAGGAAACGTCCCAGGAGTGAGAGAACACTGGAGATGGCTGTGCTGTGTCCCTCCTGCTTGAATTTCATAAGGGTCCACTGGAAAGGTCTGAGAAATCGGAGGCATCATTAAAATACCAGCTCCCACTTGGTACCCAAGGGGCTGGACCCAAGTGGCTCTGTTCCTCCTATGTGCCCAGTGCCGGGCTCTCTCGAGCCCTCCATTAATTCCTGAGGAATAAAGAGCACCAAGGTCAAGGTTACCTTCTCCTCCTTCAGTAGCAAGAGGTGGAGACAGGCTGCAGAGCCAGTGGACACGGGAATCCAGGTTCCATCTCCCAGGCACTCTCCTCCCCTGGCACTCTCCCGCCACAGCAGGAGACCCCGGCAGGCCTACAGTATCAACAGGTGGGGCACGCTTTACCCAAAACTAGCACAGGCAGAGGATGGAGCGCTGGGGGGTGGGGTGGAGATCAGGAGGGTCGTTACAAATGACACTGGTCAGCCAGGAAGAGAACAGCTACCTTAGTTACAGCCTGAATTCCCAGCTTGCCCAGGAAAAGTTCTCAACCCAGCCTTCCTCAGAGACTGCAGGTAAAGAAAACTCATCTTCCCACCCCACCACACCCAACCCAACCCAACCCAACCCAACCCAAGCAGTCCCAAGTGGAGGACATCCCCAAACCCCCAGGGAATCGCTTACCAGGCAGGGGAGTATACAAGGAAAGAAGCCGAACCCCAGCCCATCTGAAGCAAACTCACAGCTTCCCAGAAGTCCCCACCCCCACTCCAACCAACAGGCAAATGGATTTTCCTCTTTACTCCGCCTGGCATAGGCAGTAGAGGGCACTGGGCCATGGTCCAGGCCACAAGTTTGTCGGAGATACAAAGTCTCGGGTCCCCACCCAGATCTACTTAATCTGAGATTCTTCGGTTGGGCCTAGAAATCTGCATCTTAACAGGCCCTCCACGTGACTCTGACACACGCCAAAGGTTGAGACACGCCAGTGCAGCAGCTGAGAACCTCAATCCTGGCACCAGACTGTCCAAGTTCAATTCCCAGCTCTGTCATCCCCTAGCTGGGTGGCTGTGAGCAAGCTACTTAGGGGGAAGTATCAGCACCCATCTCCTAGGGTTGCTGGAAAGACTTAACGAGTCCCTGCGTCTTAGTGGCACTTAGTAAATACCCTTTGGAATTTTATCATTCTTATTTGGGGCACTGGGTGGGTGGGGGTATATCATATTTCATTTCCTAATTGAAACGACTTGTGTCCCTGGGTACAGCCTGACACTTGAGGGAACCAGCTATCCTGCACTCTCTCTTTTGGGTCTTATGGATTGGTCTACGGCACAGATCTGTGTAAAATAATAAGGCCCATCCCATAAGCATCTAATTCCTCCAGAGATGAACTGTGGGCTTTTGTTTCATTCTGTGCCTTGGTTCTCCAACACTCAGGAGAAGAGCTCCCACAAGAACCCCACAGGGGACACCTACAGCCAGGCCACACCTACAGCTGGACCCCGCTATCTACAAGGGGTCAGTGGGATTGCAGCGTCCCACTGCAGATACAAGTTCAAGGTATCCCCCGGATACTTGCTGAATGATATCAAGAAAACCAAGGGGTCCTTTCAGAGGGTGCTTGGAAATCTGACCCCCTCCCACCAGGAAGGACCCAGAAGGGAGCGCTGGAAAGCAGAAAGAAGACAATATGGTGACACCCTCCTCCCTGCCTGCCACTGGACTGGTCTCTTGCTCTAAATGCAGGTAGGACAGTAGATGAGTCGGGTCTTACTAATGCAGAACCTTTTTGTAATCAAAATGAATACTCCTTATAACTAGGAGGAGACAGTAGATAGAAGTTGTCAAGAACACAGGCTCTTTGGTCAACCAGACATGGGGTTCTGACTCCGGACTCTACCACTTACTAGCAGCAGGACATCAGGCAACTTACGTAACCCCTCCAAGCCTCCTTTTCTTATTTCTGATATGGGGAAAGGAAAGAACCACCCTGGACTGATGTGACCACTCAGCGAGATAACGCACTTGGAACAGTCTTGGCACTGTGTCTGACACAATCACAATTCCACCACTAATTATTGTCATTATCTTTATGACTATCAGTAGCTCCGGAATTACCATGAGGACATGAGTTAGAAGCTCAGGAAGGGAGGTGGCAGCCTTGACTCTGACTTGGATACCAGTCACATGGACCCTGGAGAGCTGTCCATACTCAAGTGAGTAATACTCTGACCTTGGGGGCAGCAAATGTCCAGTGAGCCATCAGTGCCTGGACCAGATGTGACCAAGGTATATTAAAAGTCTCCCTCTTCTCCTGAAGCGCTGAGGAGAACATTTTATATGGGACAGACTGACAACTATCACTGATTGGATGGTACACCTCTCTTTGCTACACTCTAAAAGCCTGCTTCCCCAACCCACCTCAAACTTTAACAATTGCCCTCGGACAGCTCTCTCGGGAGAATCCGAGCGTGTCCTTAATAGCAGGCTCACCAAGGCAGCTGCGGGAAGGGAGGAGTCCTCACTGTTAGCCTGCAGCCCGCCTCCTAGACAGATAACATTCCTCCAACCTACTACCGAAGCGCGTTAGCGCCAGACCTGAGGCCTTGACTGTTGCAGGCATTTAAGCAGGCCAATGTCCCTCCCCTGTCCGACCCCACCAAACGTTAAGCTGTAAGAGCTCTTTCCTCCCTTAAGTCGCCTGCGCCTCCAGTCCCATTTGGCCGCACGTCTACTTTCCGCACTTGGGCCGGAGCGGCCAGGTAATCATTCCTGCACGCGGAGACCGGGAGCCAGCTGTGCTGACGTGTTTCCACGATAAAAGCAAACTTACAGCTGGAGAACAGAAAAGAAACGGGTAATTCTTTCCAGGAGCCCTGGCCTCCTGGCCGAGACTGGGCAGGAAGAGTAAAAGGGCGCGGGGGAGCCAGGAGGTGCTTGCCTCCCGCACCGCGCGCAGGGCCGCTGGGGGAAACCCGGTGCCCGGCCCGCCCGCGCCGAGCCCCGCGGGCAACCGCGCGCGTCCTTACCATTCAGTTGCCGGTAAACAATGTCCTCGAGCAGCGAGAGGCGCTTCAGGACCGCATCCTGTATGGGGCTGGCGCTCTGCGCGCTGAGGTTGGCCGCCTCGGCGCGCGGCCGAATCTCGTGGAAGGCGTCTCCGCTGCGCACAGAGATGGGCCGACACTTGGCCAGGAAGAGCACGAAGCCGGCCACCGCGATCAAGTTCAACACCAACAGCACTTTGACTCTTCTCAGTGAAGCCATCAAACACGCCCGGTCGGCCCTCGCCCCGGACCCGCGCCCCCTCGGGCTCCGGCGAGGCGCGGGGCAGCCGGGGGCCGTGCGAGCCTCGCGCTCCGGACGTCTGGCGAGGATCCCAGCCGCTCCCGGCCCCACGGCACGGCGGCTAGGGCAGCGGAGACGGTTGGGAGGTCCGGGCGGTCGCGGGGAGAGCTAGATGGCTCACACCGAAGGCTTCGGTCTGCACAAGTGCTCCCAGAGATGATGCCTGCTCGGTCCACAGCGCGCGGCCCCTAGCAGGCGCCTCGGCTTCTTGCCGAAGGGCCGGGGGTCTCTCCTCTGCACCACCAAGTGGTTCGCCGCTGGACCTTGGGTCACCGGGAGCGGGGCTGCCAGCGCAGCGGACCCCCGGGGCCCGCGGGCCGGCAGGCGGGGCTGCCCCGGCGCCGCAGCAGGAGCGGCGCGCAGGTGCCGGGTTCAGGGTTCGCCGCCCGCCCGCGGAGGAGCGCGCCGCGCCTCGGGCCGCACAGCCACAACCCTAGTCCGCAGGCGGCCGTCGTGGCGCGTGCCCCGCGGTCTTCAGCCGAGGACCGGCTCCCCGGGGCGGGCGCCTTTGTTCCGCTCACCGACCCGCTCCATCGCGCCGAGCTGAGGAAAAACCCGCACCCAGGGCCCGCATCCTCGCGGCTCCGCAGTCACACTCAAGTCTCGATTACTCTCAAAGTGGGGGCAGCACTAGGGGGCGGGCGAAGGGGCAGAGCGCAACGTCCTCTCCGCCCCTCGCGCCAGGGGACACCCCACCCCGCCGCCAAACTCAACAGCGCGCACAGCGCCGCGGGCTCCCGGACACGTTCGAAGTCCCGAGCCCACGCAGCGAGTCTTCTGGGCCTGCCGGTCACGCCGGCCTCTCTCCGAGCTGGCGCGTTGGGAGGCTAGCCGGAAGGAGTAGTCGGACCTCAAAAGTCACAGCAGTTCTGTAACCCCCTCCACGAACGTCGCAGGGAGCGCCGAGAGGAGGGACGCGCGCCGTCGCACCCTCCACTCGCCAGAACAGGCGGCGCTGCTCTTCCCGCGCCCCAAGGAGCCAAACGCCGAGTCTTCTAATTGGCGGACGCGGTAATACCGCCGCTGCGGCAAGGAGAGCCCACACTGCCCCGGGGCGCGAGAGCCCGGAGGGGAAGCGCAGGTGGCGGCGGAGGGCGGGGCGCGGCCCGAGAGGACCGGCTGCAGCGCCAGCTCCTCCTCCGCCGCTGCTGGCCACCCCTCTCCCCGCCAGCCAGTCGGCCACCGCCGCCCGCAGGCTGCTGGACGCACGGCTCCCCGGCTCGCCGGCTCTTGCGCGCGCACCCGGAAAGGCTGGGGGCGCCTGGAGAGTGCAGACCGTGCGGGATGGGGGCAGTCAAGTCATGCTGACGGCTGCCGCGTTGGAGGGACCCTTTGGTTCTCAGCACTCCCCGAGCGGGCGGGTTTGTTCCATCCTGGTTGGCGATGAAGACATCCCTTTCTGTGTGCTCGCAGCTCCGCTTTGCGTGGCCAGGAATGGCTAGAGGGAAAATCTGGCCTGGAGACTCGGATTCTGTTACTTTGGGAGCCAGGCCGAGCGTTAGTGGGCTGGGTGGGTTCCCTCCGTGTGAGAATTCTCATCGTACAGGTTACAGTTTCTGTGTCCACTCCCACCTCTATGCGAATTTTATCGTAAGAACAATATTTTGTCTCTTGGATTTCCGAAATCTCTTCCTCTTCCCAAAGCCAGGAGCTCCAAATGCTGGAATTCAAAACCCCGCGTTGATCCATTTAATTCCTTGGGCCTGAAGCAAGAAATAAGGCTGCCAACTAAAAAAGATCGGGCAGCGAAGCCCAATAAATCTGGTGGTTTCCACCTTACCATTTCGATCTCATTGAAGCGTTTTGTTGTTGTTGTTGTTACCGTTGGGTTTTTGTGTTTTGTTTTGTTGCTGATTTATTATTGGAGATGTCGATTTTCAACATAGAATCTAAGTGAATGAAAAAATATAACAATCTTTTAATTCCCTCGGAACTCTGTGTCCCGGTTCAATAGGTTTTGCTTTGTATAATCTACAAGAAAGTGAATACAAAACTGTTAGATGAAAAAGGCACATCAGAAGCCACAAGGGACAGTTTTTAACCCCACGGGTAGGGCAGGAAAGGGGTTGAGTGGGAAGAAACCTGAGTTATTGAGCAGTTTATAAGGCAGGCACTGGGCCACGCGCCCTCTCCATGTTATCTCACTGAATACCCAGCTGAGTTAGTGTTATTATAACCACGCTCGGAGGGGAGCTAGCACAATCAAGGGAAGCTTCTGCAAAAATAATTTTGGGGCATTTGTTCATCCACAGGACTGCAGCTGGAGAGGTTGAGGCATTGGGCTAGGGTGTCCTGGTAGTAAATGGCTCTAAACCGTGGTGGGTCTGACTCCCAGGCATAGGCATATTTGGGATTAGGAGACGGGAAGCAAATTAGAGGAAATGGCCTCAGAGTAACGGAGATGTTTCCAGGCAAAATTCAACTTCAGTGAGGTTTCTTTTCTCCCTCTGAAACCAGAGAGTTTTAGACCCAATGAGTGACCCACTGTCATGGTCACACCCTGAAGCCTGTCATCACACAGAAGTGCTGCACTCATGCAATCCTGCACTAAAATCCCACCCTGTGCCCACCGCTTTCCTATTCTCAATTCCAACCAAACAGGTTCTCCAGCCACCGGCAACCCCTCTCTCCCTCCCCAGTATTTCAGCCCTTCCATGCCCTCTTGAGTTACTTCTCTACCCTTCCTGGTTACTCGAGACCTGGTTACTCATTTATTTCAAACACATTTCCAGTAATGGCCCTGATTCACACACACTCATAGACATGGTCTCCCACTGTGCCCCCAGTTTGGCAATCCCCACCTCTGAATCAATCCCACCCAGGCAAGAGAGGGCACCTAGGGAAAACCATATCACCCCAAAGCTTGGGGACATTACCAACTGGTGGTGTATAATGTGAGCTGGATCCTTCATTCTACTCAAAAACACTGTTCCATGTCTCTCATCAGCTCCTCGCCCCAGAGATGTCCGAGGTAGACCAGAAGTACATAAACACCCCTCAGTCAGATACAGAAATTTGTGTGTGTATATCATTTGGGTATTTTTTCTGGGGGGAAAGACCCATAACTTCCTTCAGATTCTTAATGTGGTCAGTGACACCCAAATTTTAAGAACCTGCCTGGCATATGTTAGATATGCAAAAACATAAGCAGCTGAATATTTATTGCAGGCCAGCTGCTTATGAAACCAGTGGTACCAAGGCACACAAGGTTGATAGAGCTCTCCGGTTGCTTGCATATCTCGATGGAAGAAAGAAAACTCTGGACTAAAGCCAACATGCTTGTATGAATGAAGGTTGAACTGATGTGAAGGGATGGAACTAAATAGAGTCTGCCCGCTGAGTAAATTCTCAGGCCTAAAAAGAGCACATAGCCACTTGAACTACATACACAGAGATTAAAGGACCCATTGACAGAGTCATCAATTACCATGTGCCCAGAGGCTCCCAGAGGGAGGAGTGACCTCCCTCAATCAATGACTGCCATCTGTCTACATACCATTTGCCCCCAATCCAGCTACTAAAACCAAGGAAATTATACCTCAGTGGCTGTGTGGTCTGTTCACCAGGGGATCTGGGTTTTATTACCCCTGTTACCAAGAAGCAAATCAATTCTCGACTTTAAAATAAGAAACTTCTCTTGGATGACTCCAAAAATCTTCCCTAAGCATAAAATTCAGTTAAACTACAAACAACATTTTTTAAAAGAGGTTTATTGGTGTATTTGTTTGTTTAGCAAACAAAGGAAGGAGATTGATGTATTTCTGTTCGTAGGTCACCAAGGATTTTGATTCCAGATACATTTTTCATTCATCAGCCATGGCCCAGAAGATATGGAGCTCTGCCTGGACTGTTACCTTCGCTCCTGTTAAAAACCTCTCGCATCTCAGCCTAATCCATCACCGAAGTTAAAAATACTTGGCCATCCTGGGACTTCCCTGGTGGTCCAGTGCTTAAGACGCTGTGCTTCCAATGCAGGGGGTGCAGGTATGGCCCCTGGTCAGGGAACTAATATCCCTCATGCCATGCAGCCAAAAAAAATAAATACTTTGCCATCCAAATATCTTCTTTGGTGAAATGTCTGTTCAAATCTTTGGACCATTAAAAAAAATCAAATTGTTTCTTATTGTTGAGTTTTGAGAGGTTTTTGGTTTTGTTTTTTTTAATAAATTTATTTATTTATTTCTGGCTGCATTGGGTTTTTGTTGCTGTGCAGGCTTTCTCTAGTTGCGGCGAGCAGGGCCTACTCTTCATTGTGGTGCGCAGTCCTCTCATTGTGGTGGCTTCTCTTGCTGCAGAGCATGGGCTCTAGGCACATGGGCTTCAGTAGTTGTGGCATGTGGGCTCAGTAGTTGTGGCTCACGGGCTTAGTTCTTCCCAGACCAGGGCTCGAACCTGTGTCCCCTATATTGCAGATGGATTCTTAACCACCGCACCACCAGGGAAGTCCCCTGAGAGTTCTTTATGTATTCTGAATACAAGACCTTTGTAAGAAATTTGGTTTGCAAATATTATTTTAATTCTATTAAGAATGTTTTATGCAGAAGAAAAGCTTTTAATTTTAACAAAGTCCAGTTTATTATTACAAAAAATACTTGGAAGTTCATCCAGGAAAACCCGGGGTTCATCTTTCTCCAGAGGCTTTGCCAATCTACTTAATCTTCCAGAAACAGAGAGGTAGAGACTTCACTCTCATAAAACCCTGAACATTACAAGAGATACTGGAATTGTCATTTGGTTTTTTAACTGAGATATAATTGGCATACATCATTATGTTAATTTCAGGTGTACAACATAATGATTCGATATTTGTATATATTATGAAATACCACAGAAGTCTAGTTAACATCCATCACCATACAGAGTTACAAATTATTTTTCTTGTGATGAGAATCTTTAAGATCTGCTCTCTTAGTAACTTTCAAACATACAAATAATATTAACTATAGTCACCATGCTGTACATTGCATTCCCATGACATTTGTTTTATAGCTGGAAGTGTCTACCTTTTGACCACCTTCACCCATTTCTCCCACCAGTGCTCACCTCTGGCAACCACCAATCTGTTCTCTGTACCTATGATTCTGGGTTTTTGTTTTCGTTTTCAGATTCCACATATAAGATGTTGTATAGTATTTGTCTTTTTCTGTTTGACTTATTTCACTGGAGGTTTTGTTTGTTTGTTTGTTCGC